TTTGTGTTACATCTTAGTTCTTCCTTTGTGACAGGTCCTTTGTGAATATGAGACTCGAGGGTTTGAGTTCTTGTTACAAGCATTCAACACTCCTGATTACTTGGAGGACATTACTGGTCTAACGCAGCTGCACAAAGAGACAGAAGCAGCAGAGGTATTATACTTTACCGTGCATTTTTACAACTTTATTTATGTTCTTTGTCATTGATTTCCTACTCACTTCTTAATCCTTGTTTTAGGAGTTCTGATTTTAAACTGATTTGGTTCTGTTTTCCCAGCTGATGAAATTAAGATTATTACTCATATTTTAATGATAGAGATTTGGGCTGTACTGTTCCCTATAGAAAAAGGACAACCAATAAAGAAGCTTTGGTCTGTACAGACACTTGATGATCAGACTGAGACCTCTCGTTGTAAAGAAAAATTTGTATCCACATACACTCAGTCCGAAGTTCTTAATTTTAGAATTACTTGTAATCTAAAATTAAAATTATCTTTAAAAACTGTATTCTACATGCTATAATTCTTTCTTTTTACCAGTTTCTGCCCCCCCCCCCAACTTTGAAAATAATTATTTTATTTTTCTTTCTCTCTTTTGATAGATTTGGGAGCTGAGTGATGGAGATAGCTGTGAAATGGAGTGAGAGAGGGTGAAATGGAAAATGATTTATGCTAATTGCTGAAGACTGCTTAATTCTTTTATGGTGATTATGATGATGTTATATGTATTTCTTTCTGTATATTTGCTGCATGGTGTGTGTATGATGAATGTGGTGGTTGATGATAACAGTACAATGATGGAAGTATTATTATTAATATTGTTGAGTATAATGCTGATTGGATACAGATGGACTGGTTTCTTTTACAGGTGCGTGCACCACACCACAATCTTATGTACAGGTGCTAAGAATCCATAAGAAGTTTATATGGTGAGATTTGAGGTATCTTCTTGTATATTAGTATTTAAAGAATTAACTTCAACTGAATTTGTGACAGTTTTATAGAATCTATACTGTTGCCATCTGTTATGATTATGGTTTGCTACATTAGGCATGTTGTGATGCTATATCGAATGATTTACATCTTCATCTTCCCAGATCCTAGATTCTGCTATATGACATTTGAAGTTACATTTGGGCATTGTTGAATGTAAAAATTATTCTAATGCATTGTGGCATTTAAGAACACAAAAGAATTTGCAGTAATATATTTATATTATGTATTTAGCCCCACAACCGACTCTCAGCGTTGTTAATTAGGATTACAAAATGAAGTACATACTTAACACTAAGGAATCTGTTATATGTGGTAGGGAATCATTTTAATTGCTCATATTTAACAGTGTCTTAAATTCATGCTCTGCATTCAGGGGATTATAAGTCTTCTGTTAAACATATTTTTGACATAACTTTGTTAAAAATCTGTAACGAAAGGAATATAGAATCAAATACTGATATTTATTGTTTGCACTTTGGAGAAATTATCTGGACACTGTCAGTATTTCACTATAGATAGATATTATTACAAGAACATGTTGGCCCGGCAGCTGTGTCAGGTAATTGTGAGGTATCTGATAATTTTGTTTCCATGAAACAATACACCTTTAAAATATTTGTTGAAGCTGCTCATGCCATACTTTTTTATAAATAATAGACATTGTTTTATGCATAATTTTAAAATGCCTTGACAACAGATTTCTACAAATAAATAATAGTTTCAAGAAGACAGAAATAGAATTATGATTGTCATGGTGATGAGTATGAAGTCGGTGTCTGCTAGACTGCATGGTGATGAGTATGAAGTCGGTGTCTTCTGGAATGTCTGCTAGACTACAAAAACAAGTTTGCAACAGGATAAGTTCTGTTACTTGAACCATAGGATGACAACTATTTATGAAGCTATAGGAAGTTTTGAAGGCTTTGCTTCTCTTGCCTTCCAGATGTACATAAATATAAAATGAATTGGTCCTATAGAATTCCTCTTGCCAAAGGGCTGTCATCATGTCATGTGATCCAAATTGTCACACAGGGCTTCATTTTTTCTTTTCTTGGTACATATTGTACTTTTTGTTGGCTGCATCGTTTTTATAAAATGTATCTCAATAAATCTACTCTTCTGTCATTTAATTTCTAGTGTATCTTGAGTAAACATCTGGGTTTCCTGTCATGGTTGAAATTCCAACCACTAGATTCACCTAGCTCTTTGGGTTTTTTTTATTATTTATAAAGCAATTTAGAAGATGTGGCCTCTGTGGAATATTTAATTTTCTTTCAAGTCCATATGAATCTACTTTGCACTCTAGCTTCAGAAGACTCATCTTATTATTATACTGTCATTTGTACCTTGTCTCTGAAGCGGTCGTTTCCCAACCAAGAATTTGTTTTTCTAATATATCCGTACATGCTACATGCCCAACTCATCATATTCTCAATTTCAACATCATGCTTTTATTTCGAAAACAAAAAAATTTGGAGCAAAACCAATAAGGAAAGTCAAATGTGTATTCGAAATGAGTAAGATTCGAGGAAATGAAACGTGCATATATTGTTGGGCGAGAATTCGTGGTTTTAACCAAGAACTTAGCAGCTTGCATGCAAGAATATACCATTCTGTAAAAATTATTTTAGCGACATAAACACTCCCATAAGTGCTCATATAATCCTGTGCAAAATTAAAAGTCTGGTTAGACCTTTTACGCAGCAGTAGTAAATCAATACCAACATCTTCACACAAATACGGAAATACTACAGATTTAACTATAGAAACAGTATGTGGGATATATCATAATTTACAGTGACTTGTATATTTTTATCCCGTTATTAAATAAATTAGGTTGTTTCAAGTAAACGATGACTTATAAGTGCGTTTAAATTTGATCAAAGTTTTGACGATGTTGGCTACATGATTTTGTGGGTGTGGAGAAACATTCCATATTGATGACGACAAGAATAAAATGTTTTGTGAAATTCACAAATCGTAATCCATCAACTTTAATAGCATTATATATTACATGTGCGTTCTTTAATCCAGAAAATTCACAGCATATTATTTCACTGCACATTGGCCCCGTGTATCTTTGAATAAAGAAAATGAGTAGAATATTATAATGTGTATTATAACGGCCAATCACAAGAGAAGACACCTTTAAGCAAGCAGTTCCCGTATTTTAGCATAGATGGCAGTATTATTGGTGGCTCCATTCTTTTCATTCCTTACATTCCAAAATGCCGAGGTTGGGCAGAATGTCAGAAGTCTGTTTGTTAGCTCAATAGCGCTGTGGAATTTGATAATTTTACGCATGAAAATTGGTCTGTTGCAACCGTATCTTTTGAAGAAACGATTCGCCGACTTGCACTTCACGTAAGTTGAAGTTTAAACGTGTGAATGACAGCTGAATGCTGTTTTTATTTTATGATTTACTAAATGTCATCGGGTAAAGGAAGAAATTTTTTAATTGCATAGAAGTAGAATTTTTTATTGAGGGACATAACATTGCGTTTGTTATTTCGTACAGTTTTGGTCTAGCAATGTAGTACGTATTAATTTGTATTCCTGTTCACTATTTTGGCATGCATTTGATGGCGAAACATTTGCTGTGGTGTATCACCCAAAAGAGTATTTTTTTTCGCAGATCGCAGAGATTTCCCTTACAAATCTTCTGTCTTTTCTTGTAACAGATACTAAATGATGGAGGCCACAGAATCTCCTCTTGATGTTCTGTCACGAGCAGCGACAATGGTACAGGACAGCTCTCCACCTGATTATGGTGAGTTTATTTCCAGTTACTTATTTAGTCAATAACATATAGGATTATTTTTTATTTTTCTTTGAAAATATAATAATTTTATCTCTTTCCTCACTTTAAACTGCTGGTGACTGTTTAGAATGATAGTTTTAGATGAAAGGAAGAAGATTGTACTTTAAATAATGTGGCTTATTATAAACTTCTGAATATTTACACGTGGATCCCAAAAAATCTGTAGCAAGAATAAATAAAGTGTTCTCAACGTGAAAATTAAAGAGAATGTGTAATACTTCAGACAAATATTGACAGTCAGAGAACAAACTTAATAATTTTCAATATTTTAAACTTTTATTGTGACTGAATGCAATGAACCCTGGGTCTTTCAGTTTACATAAAATCCACACATACATATCTATACCGCATGCCGATTTCCATCAGAAAAATGTGATTCTCCTTCCACACTGATCTCAGAACTGTGTCATTTATGATTCTGAAAGTCACAGTGGCGAAGATATTCTGACAAAATGGCCACAGCGCAGGGCTATTCAACCTCAAACAGAGGATGTATTCACAACAGGGGGTTTGGTCACTATATCCTTCATGCAAGGCACCCCTGACTGCTGGATGGAATTCAACATAATAATGGTTCATGTGCCAGCCAAAATGAATGTGCGCGTGCTGAGATCATTGAAGGCTGACTTGATACGCTGCATCCTTTCTGAATGTGGCAAAGCATATTATAGGGCATATGGGTCATGATGAGGTGTTAAGAACATGTAAAGTATCTATGCCTGTACCAACAAGAGTCTGTGGTGGCCAAGCGCAGTATCGAAGAAGGTCACCACATCATCTTCAGGTACACCATTATACCGGCCAGGATGATGGGCTGCGTGGATCAATTCGTGAAAAACGTCGTGAGTTGATCTCTTGGGGTACGATCCTATCCCACACAGCATGCGCTATATGTGTGTGGTATCTGGTAGTTAGAATGGGGGGAGGGCACATCAGCAGGTCAACTGTGATGTCAGAATTAAAGAAATTTCCCCATATGCACAGAAGGTCCGAGCTGCCATATGCACGCATCTTTGAAACAGCCCAGTATATATAATGTTTTGAAGATGGCTGTCTACTGGGTTGTAGTGCAAGCTAGTCTCATCAGTATTTTAGAGACCCATGCTCAGGGCGCTAAAAGCTCTACTGGGTTGTAGTGCAAGCTAGTCTGATCAGTATTTTAGAGACCCATTCTCAGTGCGCTAAAAGCCAGAAGGCAGCCATCCTCATACCTCTATAAAAACCTCAAATCCTCCTGTATATTATTATGTTATACCAACCAGAAACTAAGTATACAGAGTTGATTCCGTAAGTGAGTTTCTATTAGTTTTGATAGTTTTCTGGCTGCTTCATATGTCCTTTCTGATGAAGTAACTTTTTAATGATTGTATTTTGGTATAACATGTCTATTTTGTGGTAGCCATGATATGTGATAACATCATTTTGTGGTGTAATTTAGATGGAAGTGTTGGGGTGTTGAGATTTTGTTTCTGTAACTGATGAACTAGTGCCATGTATCAGACATAGGCCTGATGAAAGAATTTTTTCTAAAACACTCTGTTTCTTATGCCTAATATGTAATACGCACCGTTTCTTTCTTACCAGCGTACGGGTATTTGGGATCTTGGTATTGGTTTTATTTGTATGCAGTTTTGTTGTGTGCTGAGAGATTTTTCTTCTGGACAGAGTCCCAAATTCCTGATCCAGACAGGTAAATCTGGATGGCTGGCAGTCGGTCGTACGTTCGCGCGATTGTACGCTTTGGCTTCCTTGCACTTTGTGCCAGAGATTATTTGATACCTAGTCCGAAAGGTGTTAATTATTGTCACTACCATTTCCAATATTTTGAATTTTGTGATTTGCTTTCTTATAACTCATGAGTATTTTAATAACTTATACAAGAGACTGTGATACTTCATTGCCTGTCCTTTGAAAATTCTTGGCGTGACTCCAGAATTGGTATTTAGAGTAGGGACAGCGGCTACTTGGATTTGAATCTTACTCAGTATAACATCTTAAAAAAATTGTTTTCAAAAATAAATCATTAAATTAAATTACTTTTAAAATGTTGTATCTTCTGATGATCAATTCAATTAAGGAGACATTTCTTATTTCAATGTTTACCTTGAAGTTTTATTTAATTAAATTAATTCTAGTTATGTTTTTCTTTTTATCGCTGGCTATGGGGCATGCTCAGCTCCCTGTCCAGTGGGCCTAGTCGCCATCACCGTAAGACTGCGTGGAATTATACTTCCACTCATTTACCCATTCATCTTCGTGACGTGGTCGTAGTTCATGAACAGTGGGCTCTTTTTTTTTTGGGGGGGGGGATATTCTAAGTAGCTCTGGTACCCACTCAACCTCGTATTCCTAATGGGCACTAAGGATTTCGTCCCTGGGAAGGTAGTCACAACATAAAGTTGATGGGTCACTTGCATCTGGTGTGGGCGTTAACTACTTGATTCTATAGCTTCGTGGCCATTTCCCCTGTACACCTTTGTGACCTTTAGAGGAATAATCTTTACGAAATTATAGTTAGACATTCCACAAATGTACTTTTTCTTTAAGAATATGCATTTGTACTGTATTTACGTGCGTAATAAGATTTCTTTGGTATTGTATGTAAATGATGAATGAAAAAATGTTTTGGTAGATTACTCAACCTACTTTGTTACAAGAAGCTCTTCTGTATAGTTTATGAGGCGGAAAAGTGACAGAGCTTGCTGAGTATTGTCGAGTGTTTAGCACCTCTGGTTTGTATTTAGGAGGTCCCAGGTTCAAATCTTGGCCCAGAGACCATATGTTCTGACTGAGGTTTTTGTTC